TGTCTTCCTTTCCACCTGCACCCTGGTGGACTAGCCGATGAGCGCTGCAGGGAAGGGGTGGGAAAGGAGTCAGGGAAGTTGCAGAAGGAAAAAAAATAGGGGAATGAAAATGCAGGCTTGGAACATGCAGGAAGGAAAGTGGGTGGGAAGGTTGACTTGTTGCAGAGGTTGCACCCAGCCCCCTCCCCTTGCAGCCCCTCAGGCCTCCCCCAGACTGAGGGTCATCTAGGACGGTCTGCGAATGCAGCCAGAGGAGGGGATGCTGTCCATTCACGCACCACCCCGGGATCTTCTCCTGCCCCCCAAATCCACCCTATTCCCCAGAGAGACCCCAGAGGGAGGCTCAGGAAGAGCCTCTGGGCAGGATTCAGCCTGTCCACTGAGGCCCAGTTCGGAGGGTGGGACACTCTTTCCAACCCTGCCCCCAACTGCAGCCCCCCCAGAGCCAGACATGTCTGCAAAGGTGCAACAAGAGGCCCAAGACACCTGGGGGCCCCTTCAGGCATGGGTCCCCCACTCTGCACAAGGATCTCAGGAGAGGCAGGATGGAAAAGGGGACCAGTGCCTGGGGAAAAGGAGGGAAGAGGCCATACCTGCAGGTTGCTGGACGGGAGACGCTGGATGGAGACAGAGAAAGAGAGACAGAGAAAGAGATTTTAATGCATGGAGGGAGAGGCTGATTCCTGAGCACCAAAGCAACACCCTCCCCTCCTGCACCCGGAACGGCTCCTCAAAGCAAAACCTGAAGAAGCCTTTCCATGGCTTAGAAAAATCCCCCATTTTTGCAAAATACAAGCTGCCTTCCCAGGAAAGCTGCTGGACTGAGATGGCCACAGATTTAGAGGGAAGGTTTAAGCCAAGCCCCTCACGGAGGCCTCCTGGTCTACAGGGTAACAGTCTGGTCTACAGTGGGGACCCCCATCCTGTGTCCCTCGATGCCCCCAAGAACCGGTGTGGGATCCCTGCACGGCCTGCCTTAGCTTTGGGGAGGGCCCAGAGGAGCCCCCCTTCCATAGAAAGGGACAACACTGAATCCCGGCATCTCTGAGGGGGCTGGAAATGCTTCTCATCCAATGGACCAGCCCCCCCCCCACAAGTCCTCAAGGACCCTCCAATTCCCCCTTACCTTTCCTGCTCCTCAGGTAGAGGGAGAGCCCCACGGCCAGGTAGACCACGCCCAGCAGGGCCCCCACGACCCCCGTCCACACTTTGCTCCCGGCCGACTTGGAAGTCCGCGGCTCTGGGGAAGGAGAAGTCTGGTCTCACGTGGGAGCAGGATCGGGCCCAGGCTGGGCCTCTCATCCCCAGGGACTGACCGGGGGCCAAGTCCATGCGCAGCAGAGGGGGATGGGGACTTTGCAGACCCACAGCTGATATCTAGGGTGCTGGCTCAGCCTGCGAGGTCTGCATGGCTGCGGTTCAGTCCCTCATGGGCAGGGCAGCCCCAGACGGGAGTATTGAGAGAAGTCAAGAGGAGGGCTGGACACAGCTACCAAGGGGGGGGGAAAGAGGGAAGTGGGTCTGCCAGGATCTCTTCCTGGGGGGAGGCTTTCAGCCACCCACCAATCTCGGCTCTACATCCTAAGAGGCCCCCCTTCCCACAACCTCCTTAGGCCCCTCCTTTCCTTCCCCCAATCACCCACAGACCCACCCAGTGTCCAGGAGTGCCCCACACAGGGAAGGGGGAGGAGAGCCATACCCCAGTGCACGGTGATGGGAGTCTTCAGGCTGGCATGCTCCACCTGGCAGGTGTAGATTTCTCCGCGCTGGGGAGTGTCCTCCAGCATCACCTGGGTCTGGTACGTCCAGTCCCCGTTGTGCAGATCCTCCCCGTAGAAGACCCCCTCCGTCGCCCGTCGCCCGTTCTTCAGCCAGCGGACCTCGATCTCCCGGGGGTAGAAGCTGGCCGCGGTGCAGAGCAGCAGGGTGCGGGGGGAGAGGGGGTCGTCCTTGGTGGGGGAGATGGTGACCACGGGCTGGACTGGAGGAGAGGAGGGGGAGGTGTGAGACATGAGAGGATTGCAAGACCGGAGGGAAGAGGAAGAGTGGACAGGGATGGGGAAGAGGAGGGGGACCCCGGGGCAGAGCGAAGGGTGGAGAATGGGGAGGGGGAGTCATTCTTCTCCCTCTCCGAAAACAGGGTCTTCCGAGGAAGCTGATGGGGGCAGTCGTGGGACTGTGGGGAGCAGGTGTGAAGGGAGGGGGCTTGATCTGTCCTAGTTGAGGGAGGGGGCACCAGAAAATGCTGAGCACCAAACCGGGGAGCCAGCCTAGAAGCAAGCGATGTTTGGTTGAACTAACACGATGGAGGCAGAAAGAGGCCAGAGAAAAACCAAAGTCTGAATGCCTTTTCCGAAGCAGATAAATCTGTTATCATCTATTCAAATTCCAGAGGAACAGAAACAGCATCTCAGTTCCACAAGAACAGAAACCCTGATTCAGAATTTTAAAAGGAAAAGCCCCAGCGTATGAGGTTTTTGCAGCTCATCCCTGCAGGATATGCAAGGCTGAAGTGGTTCCGCATCACTAAAAAATGTTCAATTAAGGAGAGATGACGGCTTGGCGGCAGCCTTGGGGGGAGTTGAGACGGGATAGAGGGAAGGGCCACGCACCCCCAGGGACTCACCTCTCCTGCCCACCACGCGCCCGGCCTCAGGCAGGCCGTAGTTGCACCAGCAGAAGGTGTCCACGGCGGCCCGGGCGTCCTCCAGCACCTCCTTCTGGCTGTTCCAACACTCGGTGTCGGGCTCTCCCAGCGGCGTGAGGGCCTCGTACCGGCCCCGGGCGCTGTCGAAGCGCGCGATCTCCGTCCGGTCGTAGATGTGCCTGAAGAGGAAGCGCACCTGCACCCGCCCCGTCGCGTTGGAGAAGCGGCACTCGTGCTTCGTCTGATGCAGGAACCGGCGCGGGGCTGCGGGGGGAGGAGGGACCCGGCCGGGCCCCGTTAACGAGCAGCACAGGGGGCCAATCGCCCTGCAGGACAGTGCCTGTGCCCGCCTCCCTGGACCCGGAGCCAATCGGAGGGCAGCACGAGCCCGACCTGCCAACCCCCCCACAGGTACAGCCCCCCCCCCCAGTCTGCCCCAATAGCCCTGCGAGGGAGGCTGCGCGGAGGGGCAGCGGCTGCTCACAGGCACCCAGGGAGCTCAGCGCTCGGATCAGAATGGGAACCTGGGTCGCCAGAATCCCAGCCTGACGCTGTAACCACTGCACCACACATCCCTGCCCCCAAGCAGGGATTCGGGACAGGGCAAAGGAGGGAGTTAACCTGAGGGATTCACCTCCCCAAGAGGCAGAGGGGGCTGGAAAGGGGATCGGGCGAATTCAGGCAAGAGCAGAAGGCCATCCCAGGGTGCTAGTCCTCATGGCCCCATGCTACCCTCAGTAAGTCAGGAACACCGGCTGCCGGGGAAGATGGGTGCTGTTGCTTTCCTGCAGTGATTGTGAGTTCCCCAGGGGAGCAGACCGGGTCTCCAGGACTCGCCCGTCACACACCAGCTGATCCGACTTGTGAAAAGTTCTACCACCAGCCTTCCCAATGGGCTTCCCTCTGGATCTCTTGGCCTGTAACTCCCACCATGCTCTGCCAGGCGGAGCTTCAACAGATCAAGATGCCCCTCCGCACTGGAGGGATGAATACCTTGAGTCCCAGTTGAACTTCTGCCTGACATCATGGACGTTGGAAGAGTTCTTGCCAGAGGCCTCTTGGAGGATGCAAGCCGGGGGCAAACATTCCTCCAGAGGGGCCGCAGGGGCAGGATTGGAGGGGCATCTTCTCCCCACTCTCACCCCCCCGTCCCTGCAGCCCCCAGCTTCTTTGGGGGGACTCCTCCCCCTTCAGCAGGAGCAGCTTGTACAGCAAGGACAGCAGAGAGGAGGGATGCTTCCCCTGTTGAACTTCCACCTGCAGCATAGCTGCGGAAGCCCCAGACTCAGACGTCCTCTCCTTGCATTCCATCCCTCCTCTCCTCCCCTTCAAAGCATCCGGGGGGCAGCCAATTCACCCCCTGGGAAAGCACCCCAAGCCATGGATGGGGACCACTTTCCCAGGGTCTCTGAGCACCTATGGAATGGCAGGGGTGGTCCGGGGGGCCCACCCCTTTTTTCTCTCATGCCCTCCCCTCTCCCAAACAGCTCTTGCCCTCTTCCCCTCCTCCAGGGACCCACAGCTTCTTCCTCAGGGCAAAGGAGGGGAAGCAGAAGGAGGCAAGGAACAGGAGGGAGGGGTGCAGGGATGCCACGGAAGGCACCGCAGCCTGGAATTCAGGGATGCCACAGACAGACCATCCAGGGGGATACGTTCAGGGGGTCACCAGAGGTTGGAGATGCCCAGAAAACCCAGGACTGCATTCCCCCCTGGGTTGGGGGAGGACCAAGAGGGTCCCACCCTCCCCCTCGAAGCAGCCCCCTCCTCACCTGGGGGATCCTGCCTCCCTCCCCCTCCGGGGACCAGGGGTGGCCCCAGCAGAAGCACCAGTGTCCCCGGAAGGATCCACTCAGGCCCCATGGCTGCAGCTGCCCCACAAGTGGACGAGGGGAAATGCTGCCTCAGCCCCAGAAGTGAAACTTTTTCTTCTATAAAGTGTGGGTGGGGGGCAAAGTCCATGGGAGGGAGCCAATGAGAATTCTCCCTGGTGCAGCGTCATCAGTCTCCGGGCGGAGGGGGCCCGGCTCTGTCCCTCCGAAGGAGTTTGGTTTTGCCTGCGAAGGGAGGCATAGCAAGCTCCGTGTTTATGTGTGGGAGCGGGGGATGAAGCAAGACCCTGTTACACCAGGGCAAACAGACTCTGGGGCCGGGCTCTCCCACAGGGGAAGCCACGGAGGTCCCGCCACAGGATGGGCTCTTGAGGGGCTGATCCGGGGCCTCGACCTGATGCTCAGCAAGGTCGCTTTCCCAGGAACCGGGGAGGAGGGAGGGCGCCTGGTTTGGCCTCCAGGCTTCGCCAGGGCTTCTCCGGTCACCTGCACCCGGACACATGGTTTTCATGTGGCTGCCATGGAGTTGGTTGAAGGAGCTTCAATTGCAGGAGCCCCTCTAGTCATGCAGGCAAGAGCAGTGCACCCTGGGAGTGAACTTTAGCTGCAAAGGTTGATGGGAAACCAGGGCACCAGACAAGCTGGGCAGGGGCAGGGGGGCACCGAGGAAGATCCGGGGCTGGCAATGGAGCCCTGCAAGGAGGGACAGGCAGAGCCGGGCGTGCTTAGCCTGGAGGAGAGAAGGTGTGTCAGAATCCCGAAATCTCAATTTGTGAGAGGAAATAAAAGTCGGGGTCGTGGGAAAGGGCAATTGTTATGAACCTCCACGTCTATATTGCTTATCCCAGGTTCCCCGCAGTTGACTGACGATAAGGCGTTACCGCACAGGCAGAGGTAAACTCGCTGCAAAGCTTTTATCCATCTACCAGCGGTTTTTATGCTCTCTCAGTCACGTACACCCCGTACACCCGTACAGAGCCATTAAGGACAGAATACATGTATTACAATAAAGTTCGGTAATCAGCATATGGAGAAAAGATACGGGAATGTCAGTCAACCATACAGACAATAAGATTACACTATCTCACAAGGCGATTTTGACATATCAGTGGAGTAATTTCCAGAGGCGTGGATCCATCTCCGGGTCTAATTAGATATGTAAATTTGGGCTATCGTAAGCTCTTGTATTGCATTCAGGAAGACCGAGACCCCGAGTAAAGTACAACAAATAGCTACTTCTTGTCAAGCGGTAAATTCCAAAAGAGATTAGCTAGCTACAATGTGAATGAATTTGACTGAATGAGGACCTCCAATTCTTTCTGTCTGCTCTTGACCCATAGCCGGGGTGGGGGTGAGGGGGAGAAACATCCATAGTTCGACATTTTTAAATGGATTCCTGAGTTGCACTATACTTCTTTTACAAAAAAACCCTTTTTATCCTGAGGTTTAAACAAGATTTATTCAGGCCTCCTTTCCAACAGGTGCAGGAGAGGAAGGCCAGCACCCTCCTCCATCATCCCCGAGTGCAGAACACAGACTGACAGGTGCAAGCGACAGGAAGCCAGACTGGCTGGACATCAGGAGAAATTTCCTGACCGGGAGCAGCAGGACCCAGGGCTGCCCCATGCACGCCTGGACCCAAATAGGACCCACAGCTCCCCGGGAGGAGCTGAGGGGAGGTGCACCCCCAATCCCAGCATGCCCTGGCCAGCAGGACTTGCTGGGGCAAGCTGGGAATTGGAGGCCTGCACTTCCGAGGCTCATTGCAAGCTGGCAAATTCATAGGATGAGTCTGCAGACTCTCTCAAAGAGAAATGCTAGAAACAGAGATGGAAGCAGAAGTGGTGGTGAATATCTGATAACATTTTTCAATTCTAGGGAGTTTATCACACCTATTTCTTTTTTAAGAATGCAGAGTGACTTACAGAGTGGCAGGACACGTGCCAGGAGCTCCCACCTCCCACTTCTCCCGACGCAAGGGGACTCCCTGCATTCCCGCCTGGCCAGGCCAAGGGCTGCACCTACCCGAAGCTGCATTTGGCAATGGGCTCTCCCTGGCCCAGCTTCAGACATTCAATGTCCACAATACCACAATTCGCCTTCATTGGAGAGATAGCCAAGAGGTCCTGCGGGACTAGAGGGGCCGTGCGTCTTCTGCGGTCCCTGTGCAAAAGTCAGAGCAACAGCCTCCTCCCTGATGCGCTGGATGTCCACTTGCAAGGAGTTTGCTTGCTCTGGTGCACGTGCAGATCCTACGTGGTTGTGAAGCGTGCCCCCTGGGTCAATGGGGGGAATTGCATGGGGGACACTTTGCCAATCCCCCTGCTCTGACCCACTCTTCTCCAGATGTGAGGGGAGGGGAGGTGCTCGCTCCCCCATGGCACACGCCTGTAGGTTCCCATGTCTAGGCACCCCCATCCCTCTGTTTCTGCTTTCTCCCTGCAAAGGCAGGGCCGCTGGGCCCAGAGACTCCATTCTGCACCCGGCAGGCAGAACGCAGCTGGGCACTCGGGTTCCGCTTCCTCAGGCAGCAGCCAGAGTCGGCGTTTGGGGAAGCAGAACGGAGAACTGGCCAGCGCCCAAGGAGTGGTGGTTGGCAGAAGGCTCAGAGAAGCCCCGCCACAGACCGCTTCGGCCTCCAGCGCCCCACTCCCTGGAGCTGTGCTCACTCAGACCCTCACAGCCCCTCTGGAGAGGACCCCAGGGAGAACCCGCTCTGCCTGGGAGAGGAGGTTGCTCCTGAGCACTTGCCAGCCCCACATCTTCACGTGCCCACCAGCACGTGGCCCAAGCGATGGACCGGGCGCTTTGCACGCCTGCTGACGACACCCTCCCATATTTCGTGAGGGATGCAGGAAGACGCCCCACACAGAGCCAGGCCGTGGGTCCCGCTGCTGCATGGAGTGCCTTGCTCAGATCTTGAGGCTGTCACTCCACATGTTTCCCCACATGCAAACACTCACTCACACATACAAACACACACGCAATATTTTATGAATTTCCTTCCCGCCTGGCAGCAGGGTTCTGCAAGATTGTGGGCAGGGCCTTCCCCACCTCTCTTGGGGATGATGGGAATTTTGCCTCGGACCACCTGCATCCACAGCAATTGCTATTCCCTCCCTGCATTCACACCCAGGGGAAGGGGCCAGGAGGGCCATCAGGCCCAGTCTCTGCTCCGGACAGGACCACCAGGGAAGTGCCCCCCTCAGAGGGCTGGCAAGCTGCCTCCTGTGGGCCCCAGTGTGGGAGAGCCCCCCAGATCCCAAGGGAGTTGGTTGCACTGTCGTCACGCCCTGACACTGATGAAACCTGGCCCTGCTACATTTCATCCTGCTCTTTTCAGCCCGTGCTTCAACCCAGGAAGTTCCCTTTCTGTTTCTGTCTTCCGGGGAATTAGCTCCCCCACCCCATTTGGGGTCATCGGGAAATTTGATCACCATCCAGGATCAGGGCTGCTCTGGAGACAGATCCAGGACACTGCCCTGGTCGCAGGATCTGTCTCGGGGCCCAGCTGGAGCTCCCAGCCTCCTGATCAGCTCCGTCTGGGAGACCAGGGAAAACGGACACAAGGGTCAGCTCTCCCCTCCGGAACGGGCCCCAGTGACGCAGGGCTCCCTGTTTGTGGCAATGCCTGCATCTTGTCCGAGCCACGGCCTGCCTCTCTGCCCACCAGCAGGCTGCGGGGTGGCCCAGCGCCTGCTCCCCGCCTGCCCTTGGCTGCGCTTGGCCCCTGCGTTCTCCCAGCTTGCCGTGCTGCCTCCACCATGCAGGTTCCCCTGTGCACCATGGATCAGCTCCTGTGCCTTGCCAGCCCCTTCCACGGATCCTGCCTCTGGGTGCCTGCACCTCCACCTGCCTTCCTGCCCTCACCGCTCTGACCATACGCAGAATGAGCATCTTTTCGCCACACAGAAGGGCCCCCAAAAACAGGAAGGGACAAGTCCGCTTGCCATCTTTCTTTCAGTATAAATTAAAATTAAAGTGGCCCAGAGAGATGCACAGATTGCCCTGTCGTCTTATGTAGAGAGTGAGGGGATTCTCATTTTTGCCAGTGAGAGGAAACGCGTAGTGCTCCGAGTTCAGGATGGCCTGAGCAGGCGAGACCGAGACGCAAGCCTCCCCTTCACAGCTGAAAGGAACATGCTGGGTGCATCCATAGATGGGGCCAAGCAAGTCACGGCAAGGAGTGCCTGTCCCAGAGCTTACCTAATTCTAATTTTCCAGCCAATCCCCCTTTGTTCCTCTGTAACACTTAATTTTCTTCATTGATTCTTATTTCCAATCCTGTCTCCTCTTGTCCACCACCCTGTCCGTGTCCAGCCCTGACGGGCACTTCTGGCTCCCGATCTCCGCCTGTTCTGCGACTAGGATCATGTGCACGTTCCAGCAGGATTCCCGGGTGCACCAAGCAGCTGATGGCATTGGCGGAACCGACAGCTCTGGCTCTGGCAATGACCCGGCTGCTGAAACGGACGCGGCTCCAGCTGCACTGCAAGCTCTCCAAACTGCCTCTGCCTGTCAGGACGAAGCAACTTCAGGGCAACCGAAGGGCCCAGGCCACCCCCACCAGGGGCACGAAGTATGACATCCAGGGGGAAACTAGAGATGGGGAGTCTCTTGGCGGGGGAGCTGCAGCCCCCTGGGAGGTGGACCAAAAGTCCATCGTCACAGCCGCTGGCATCTCGGGCCCCACTGGCATCTCGGAGAGAAGAGCTCAGGCCACCCAGTTCCTCAGCGCCCCTCCTTCTCAGACAGGCACCAGAGAGAGAGGGTGCCACTTTTTGCTTTGTGCATGCTCAGAGACTACCATAAAGACATTTGACCGGAGTGCTGGGGATCCTGCTATGTCTGGGAGGGAACATTCAGCCCCCAACTACTCCAGCCTGAATTTGCCATGAAGCTCGGATTTCCGACTCGCCAGGACTCTGCCCCGTCTCACGCTGTGGCCCTGGCCATGGGCCCCTGCCTTGCCTCCTCCTGCCTGACCCCGACCCCTGCCCTCCTTCAACCAAATCATTCCAAAAATGCCAAGGAGATCTGGCCCCA